GCCCAGCAGTGTCACAGAAATATACGAGGGGTTCTCCAATGAGATGTTCAATAATGGAAGGCAAGCTTCACAAGAGGAGGAGGAAGATTGGTTTTATACCCCACTCTTCACTACCAGAAGGGGTCTCGGAGCAGCTTACAATCATCTTCCCTTCCTCTCCCCAAAACAGACACCCTGTGAGGTAGGTGGGGCTGAGAGAGCTCTGAGAGAACTGGGACTGGCCCAAGGTCACCCAGCTGGCTTCATGTGGAGGAGGAGTGGGGGAATCAAACCCCGTTCTCCGGATTAGCCCCCTGAGCCTCCCAAATGGCGGGGAGGGCGGGATATAAATGTAAATATAAAATAAATAAATAAATTAGAGTCCACCGCTCTTAACCACCACACCAAGCTGGCTCTCGAGCTCTGTGCATTGTGTCGGAGGATGATCAGGGCTACTTTCACATTTGGCATCTCCAAGACACAGAGAAATCTGCTTGCCATCTGGGCAAGGGGAACCCTCTGTGTGCCGGTGGTGAGGACTGGCGCGCCCCACTTCTCTTGCAAGTGAAGGAAGCCAAGAGCGGACAGCCCCTGCTTGTGGGTCCCACATTGCTTTCTGCCTCATCTACCTCGCAGGGCTGTTGTGCCAACAAAAAAGAAATCTGCTTGCCATCTGGGCAAGGGGAACCCTCTGTGTGCCGGTGGTGAGGACTGGCGCGCCCCACTTCTCTTGCAAGTGAAGGAAGCCAAGAGCGGACAGCCCCTGCTTGTGGGTCCCACATTGCTTTCTGCCTCATCTACCTCGCAGGGCTGTTGTGCCAACAAAACCAGGAGAACCTTGTCTACCTTGAAGACATGAACCTAATACATAAAGTTAAACAGGAACAGGAGGAAGAGCTCATGAACGCAAAGCTTTCATACCTATGTTATAGATCTCCGAACTCCCAAACCTCACCCCGCTCGGATTCAACGTGCCGTCACTGAAAACAACCCAAAGAGCAGAGGGGGAAAAAAATCATTAAAATATAATCAAGGTTTGATGAAAAGCAGCGAATTGATGTAATTTATCTTGGTTCTTGATAAACCACCTTGGTTAAATATGCAAGAGAGAAAAGCAATTCCTAGGACGGGGCCTGAGTTCCAAGAGGTTTTCTTTGCACGCCTTCAAGATGCCATTCTGTTACAAAGCAGTATACATATTTAAACAAAAGGAGGGGATGTCAACAGCACGTCATACTCTGCAGATGTAAGTAGGCTGGTGTGGCACAGTGTGCAACCTGAATTGCAAGAACAGCAGTCCAAGGGCTGGATCCTGCAAATCGCTTCTTCTAATGGCATCTCCTCCCTCTGGCACAAGCAAGGAAGCTCTCAAGAACTTCCGCCACAGCGGCAGGTTCCTTGAGCCAGAGGAAAGCACCGCAATTTGCAGAAACGATCCTCGGGGGTCAAACCTTAGGGATTCAATCAGACGTGCTCCTTCCTCTAAGAGTAAGCCCCACTGAACACAGTGGGAACATCTTCCAATTAAAGACAGCCTACGAAAGTCTCCATAATTGTTAAGGCAGGTGGGGGGAGACCTTCAGGGGGTTGCCGCGCCGTTTGATTAGAATTGGTGCCAAGCAATGCTCCTTCTAAGTTGCGGAGTCTTGTGTGCAAAAATTCTACTTCGTGAGTGACGGGCATTAAAGTTGTGAGCGAGCCATTTGGCTGCTGCATAAATTAGTTTGCTCTGGAGTCCTTCCTGAGCGAAGACAAACATTTGTGAGCCAGAGTCTAAAAATCTGAGCTGGCTCACACTAATTCAGCTTAAAGAGGGAACACTGGTACCAAGGTGTCGAGGGGCCATGGCTTAGCGGCAGAGCGTCTGCTTGGCATGCAGAAGGCCCCAGGTTCAATCCCCAGCATCTGCAGTTAAAAGGTCAAGGCAGTCGGTGATGCGACCAATGGTTTATTTCATTTTATTTTTATTTTTACTTCATTGGATTTGTATCCCGCCCTTTCCACACAGCCGGCTCAGGCTGGGTTCCATGAGACACAGTAACCAAGACACAATGGACAAGGAATTAAAAACAAGTCAAACCCCCCGATAAAATACAACAACGTTCCTATGGTACAAACCATGGTCAAAGCCTCACAGAGGCAGTCTATTTCATGTTTGGGTCCTCAGCTGATATAGTACAGATCTGCCTTGCTGAGGGGAAGCCCAGTGGAGAGGGGGGGACGCCCACCGCCCTAACTAAAAGCCTGGCGGAAGAGCTCTGTCTTGCAGGCCCTGTGGAACTGTACAAGGTCCCGCGGGGCCCTGATTTCGTATGGGAGCTCATTCCACCAGGTAGGGGCCAGGGCTGAGAAGGCCCTGGCCCTAGTTGAGGCGAGACGGACCTCCCTGGGGCCGAGGACCATCAGAAGATGTTGGCTGGCCCTTTCTTGCGTGCCCAGGGTAATGCCAACCACCATTTCGGTGTCAGAAAAGAATTTTCCTCCTGCCCAGGTTGGCCCAGGGGTCAGGGGTCCTGGAGGCTTTTTGCCTTCCTCTGGGCATAGAGCAGAGGGGTCACTGGAGGAGTGGGGGGGGGAGCTGTGAGCTTCCCAAATAGTGTCAGGGATTAGACTAGATGACCCTTGGGCCCCCTTCCAGCTGTATGTTTCTATGTTTCCTCCAGGAATCTGTCTAATTCCCTTCAGAAGTAGCCATCACTCTAACTGGGTACGTTCAAGCCACAGATGGACCACAGTGATTAACCAAAGGTACACCCCACCAAGGTTCACTGTGGAAAGAACGATTCTATTACAGTTACGGTCCACAAATCTGCTTCTTCTTTCGTTCCTTTGTTTTAAGTCATGCGGTGGTGCTGCTGCTGCTTCCAAACAACTTCCAAACAACAACGGATTTCCTAGGTAAGTATTCCATTTCCCCCAATGCTTTGTCAGGTCGCTTTTTTATACATGGAGCCAATGCTCTAAGCCTCTAGCTCAGAGTTAATCATGTGTTTCCCTTTGGCATCTGCTGGCTCTCATTGGGGAAGGGAGTACTTCAGTGTGTGGGGGGGTATAAGGCCATAGAGTTAGGGTTGCCAACCTCCAGGTGGAAAGAAGAACCAAATTTGTGGACTGTAATTGCAACAGAATTGTTTTTTTCACAGTGAACTTTGGGGGGGTGTATCATTGTAACTGGGAGCTGCTTTTACCCATCGGTGGGGGGGAATGCCTTGGATTGCTGTCCCCTCGCCACTATCCAGTGGGGACCATGAGACGCTTAAGAAATAAAAAGCCCACAGGAGCCCCCTCGTTAGCCTGAAGTTAGCAAGGGGGATCAGCGGGCAGCATCGCCCCCCTCCCCACTCCCTGCCAGCAGAAGTACAGAAAGCGGCTCTCCTGCCTTCCTGGCATAGGGGCCATGCCCAAGCGACAGCTTACCTGCGCCCAAGCATGACGATGCCTCCTGTCTTGGGGTTGATTTTGCAGTAGTCTCCGTGGGACCAAACACCTGTTTCCCCCCCCCCCCAAAAAAGAGAGAAGCGAGCTCTGACAGAAACTGCTCTTTTTCAAGAACAGTTTTGCCTGGACTACGGCTTGCCCAAGGTCATCCAGCAGGTGCAAGTGGAGGAGTGGGGAGTCAAACCTGGTTCTCCCAGATTAGAGTCCATGCACTTAACCACTACACCAAACTGGCGTGATGAAGGTGCATCATGCTACTGGATTTGATTACAGTTACTATGAGAAATGGCCAGATTGCTTGTTAAACTAATAAGCTATATATAAATTAACACTACACACTCTGACAAAGTTTGTGACCAAAGTGAGACTTGATATGCATCGTCCGTTAGTGTCGATGGCGTCTTTGTGAATGATTTTTGAGAGATTGATCTGCTCCAAGTAAACTGGATACTGGATAAGGACTAAATAGTCTTTGGGTATTTTTCTCTGGCATAATACTTCGCGGCTGTTCTGCTTATTTCAACAGTCCAGGCCTGGCTCGTGTGTACTCTCGGATATTTATGAATTCTCCCTCCACTTAAAAGCGCCCGAAGCAATTTCACAAAACATATGAAACACGGCGTGTTGCAGTGGCAATGCGGGAATCGGCAGGGCAGTGAAACTCTGGAGGGGCAGCTGTGTTACGGCAGCGTGTACACAAAAAAACAGACGCTTGGCACCTTAAAGACCAACAGACTTATGGTGTCATAAGCTCTCAGAGGCTGAAGCATCCTTGAGCCCGGCGAAGCAGGGTCCGGTCCACAGCAGTTTTACGCCGCAATAAAGATTCTGGTCTTTACTGTGCCAGTAGTCTCCTTTGGGTTACAGCTGTCAAGTGATCAAAGGGCCCCTTTTAATCACCTGCACTTGAACCCTTTGGGCGAAATTCACACCACCCAAGCCTTAAAACAGGTGCCCGTTGGACACTTCAAATTAAAACAGGAAGAAAAATCTACAACTCAACAAGAGCCGTGATTTGTCTTTGCAAAGAAAGGCTGCCCTCGGCGTCTTTGTCCTGGAATCATAGAATCACAGAGTTGGATGGGATCTCCAGGGTCATCTAGTCCAACCCCCTGCACAATGCAGGGAATTCACAAATACCTCCCCCTCCACACCTGCAGTGACCCCTGTTCCACGCCCAAAAGATGACAAAAAAACTCCAGGATCTCCAGCCAAACTGGCCAGGAGGAAAATTGCTTCCTGACCCCAACATGGCGATCAGCATTTCTCTGGGCATGTAAAAAAGGGCTGCAAGAACTAAACACTGAGGCAACCTTCCCTGCCCTCCCCTCTCATGATCTGCCTAAGTTCCTTTCCTTATGCAGCAATGCCCCAGGAGCAAACCAAGTTTAAAAGCAACTGACTCCTCTGCTCTTAATCGGCAGCCCTGCAGACTCATCCATGGGAACTTCAGGGTGCAATCCTGCATCTACGGAAGTTTTCGACACAACCGCCCCTCATTTGGTATCCTTGCTTCTCCTTCATGGAGACTGATTTTATTTTCACAGATAATCAGGGGATAAAACCCAAGGTTACCCCCAAAACGTGAACCCATGAAGCTGCCTGATACTGAATCAGACCCATGGTCCATCAAAGTCAGTATTGACTACTCAGGCTCTACAGGGTCTCAGGCAGAGAGGTCTTTCCCATCACCTATTGCCCGGTCCTTTTAGCTGGAGATGCCGGGGATTGAACCTGGGACTTTCTGCATGCCAAACAGATGCCCTGCCCACTGAGCCATGGGTCCACTCTACTTTATGGATGGGTAGAGTTTTGAACCCAAACTTCATAGGCCTAAATGTGACACCATCCTGTTACGCTTGGTGGTGTCCAGAGTTCCTGCCGCCACCAGATAACCTTTTCCCAAGAGATCTTTCTGCTAAGGAACCCTTGTGAAGGGCAAACTACTCCAGGGGACAGTGTTCTAGGACGCACACTACCTGAAACCACTTTAAGGCCACTAGATGGAAGAGAAGTGGTTTAGCACCTGAACACATGAAGCTGCCGTAGACTGAATCAGACTGTTGGTCCTTCAAGGTCAGTATTGCCTGCTCAGGCTGGGAGCGGCTCTCCAGGGTCTCAGGCGGAGGCCTTTCACATTGCCTGCTACGTAATCCTTTTCAACTGGACATGCCGGGGATTGAACCTGGGACCATCTGCATGCCACGTGGATGCTCTTCCAATAAGCCACATCCCCTCCCGTGGCCACGGCTCCATGTGCACGCAGGTGGAGAGGGGCTGCGTCTCAGTGGAAGAGTGTAGTGGTTAAGAGCAGGAGCAGTGGACCCTAATCTGGGAGAACCAGGTTTGATTCTCCACTCCTCCTTCACATGAAGCCTGCGGGGTGATCTTGGACCAGACACAGTTCTCTCAGAGCTCTCTCCGCCCCGCCTCCCTCACAGGGTGTCTGTTGTGGGGAGGGGAAGGAAAAGGAGTCTGTAAGCCGCTCTGGGACTCCGAGTGAAGGGCGGGGCATAAATCCAATCTCTTCTTGTTCTTCTTCTATAACACAATGGATCACTATGATCAATGAAGAGAAGAAGAGATTGGATTTATACCCCGCCCTTCACTCGGAGTCTCAGAGCGGCTTACAGACTCCTTTTCCTTCCCCTCCCCACAACAGGCACCCTGTGAGCAATGTTCCCTCTAAGCTGTGGAGTCCTGTGAGCAGAAATTCTACTTTGTGAGCTACTGGCATTAAAGTTGTGAGCAGGTAGTTTGGCTGCTGCATAAAATTAGTTTGCTCTGGAGCCGTCCTTCCTGAGCTAAGACAAAAATGTGTGAGCTGGAGGCTAAAAAACTGTGAGCTAGCTCACACTAACTCAGCTTAGAGGGAACACTGCCTGTGAGGGAGGCGGGGCGGAGAGAGCTCTTTCGAGGACTGCTCTTGAGAGAACAGCTCTTGTCAGAACTATGGCTTGCCCAAGGTCATCCAGCAGCTGCAAGTGGAGGAGTGGGGAATCAAACCCGGCTCTCCCAGATTAGAGTCCAAGCACTTTACAGCTACACCAAACTGGCTCTACTACCCTATACTACATACGGTAGAGAAAAGCAGGGTGTAGAAATCAACTCTTCTTCTCTGCTTTTTGCATGTAGAAGGTCCCCAGTCCAATCCCCAGCACTGCCAGGTACAGGGATCAAGGTGGCAGGTGATGTGGAAGACCTTTCTCTGGCTGACACCTTAGAGAGCAGCTGCCAGTCAGGGGAGACGACGCAAACAGTCGGAGGAGGTACAAGGCAGGATCGCATGTCCATGTGAAAGAACATGCCTCCCAGCCCCCCCCCAAAAAAAACCCACAAAAAGGCAGCTCCGATGGAATCCAAGTCAGCGCCTGACATTACGTGGTGCTTCAGCTGAGAAGGAGCACCCAAAAACGTGGAGGCTGCTACGGCCTCCGACAGCTTCACTTCTGAGCGGGAGACGGTGGTCGGCCGCTCGTCAGGCCAGCGGGTTCTTGCCAGACAGTTACGGTATCGGGCTTGTAACTTCGCAAGCTGATACTAGTGCAGAGCAAGGTGTGTTCAGTTCAGTCTGGCAGGCTGGATCGGGGCAAGATGAGCAAAGGCCCCTTCGGCGAACACCCTTCCGAACCAAAGGCCAGCTCCCACCCCACCCCCACGCACCTGGGAATTTTGAAAAATACGCCTTCCTGTATTTGATACCGTTTTCATCGTTCCAGAAATGCGTCGGCTGGCAGGGCATGGGCTTGGTGCACACCAGCTCCCCGCTTTCCCCCCAAACTGGCTTCCCTGGTTGAAAACAAACAAGAATAATTTTTTTGGGGGGGGGGGTATTTTTGCATTGTGTGTGCACAGGGGTGCTCCCATGCCTGGAAGTCATGGCAACCTCTGGCGACTCCGACTGGGACATGGAGGACATTCGGAGAAGTGGCTTGAGATCCTACCTCTGCCTCCCGGCCCTGGTATTCCTTGGTGGTCTCCCATCGAAATATTTCAAACTATGCTTCTCCTGTGGCTGTGAATTCCAGGTGTTAGTCACTCTTCGGGTGAAGGAGGACTTCCTTTTATCTGAAGCATGGGCAGCTTCAAGAGGGAACTGGGTAAACATCTGGAGAAGAGGTCCATCAGTGGCTCTTAGCCACAAGGTATAGATAGGAACTCTCGGGTCTGGGGGCAAGGGATGCTCTGTATTCTTGGTGCTTGGGGAGGGGGGGCAACGGTGGGAGGGCTCCTAGTGTCCTGGCCCCACTGCTGGACCTCCTGAGGGCACCTGGTACTTCTGGCCACTGTGTGAACCAGAGTGTTGGACTGAATGGGCCACTGGCCTGACCCAACATTGGCTTCTCTGATGTTCTTATGTTCTAAAGTTTTATGCAAGGCATGAGCTTCTATGTGCACGCACACGTCTTCAGATAGAATGACATGGAAATTACCAGTCCATGCATACAGGCAGAGAGTAAGCAGTGAATCAGCACAGAGCACAATGAAGATGTTTAACAGATTCAAGGGCCAAACAGGAACAACTAGCTTAGTTTATATGGATACCATTTGTTTGGGTTTGATGGGCAGGTGTAGCCTTGATTGTGGAATGCTAAGAGCACGTAACTGAGTAATTCATTGAGACCGTGCTGCGTAACAGAAAGCCGTTATGCAGAAAGAGAGGGGGCCGAGGAAAGATGAGCAGGTAATTTGGGCATTTATGTGCAAGGCTGGATTGGGAAACCGACAGCAAGCGAGGTGGGCCACGGTGCTGGGGAGAGGGAAATCTTGCAGCCTTCCCTTTGACCGTCTCCAAGAAACTTCAGAGCACGCCCAACCCAAGCTGAAATGGTCACAGAAGCGGGGGATTGGGGTTAAGCCAGGATAACTTTTGGGAGGGGAGGTCAACACGGAAGGAAGCAAGAAAAGCAAAATACAAATCCATCAGAATGAGTAGGGGAATATGTCAGCAAGCTGCCAAATTTCTTTTCTGTTGGTTTTCCCATGTATGCGCTTGCTTGCTTTCGTTTTCATATGTAGCCCTGTTGATGCGCTTAATTGCTTAGCTACTGGAACATCTATATCTCTCAAGGCCACAGGTGGTTGCTGCTGGATAGATGCTTGGGTGATCTCACGGAGGGCCGTGGGAAGGAGATATGTTATGCTGCCTAGAAGCGTTTGCTCCCAGGCCTGATGGTGC